GAGCTACTCTCTTCTTAACATCCCCAAACCTTACAGTTGAAGAGGCTCATGCAGAATAAATATTTTTTCTTAAATGCTATCAGCATTGTTTGCAGAGGTATACAGTAGAATGCAAACTGTGAAATACTTGATAATTTTGCCTGTTAGAACTTTACTGCACACATATATATAGTTCAGTGCTATGTGTGTGGCTTTTTCCTATATTAAGAAACACTTGGAGATATATATATGTGTGTTTAAATTTAGTTGAGTTTTGTTTTGGTTGTAGGTTAGTCACACAATCTGATTGGCTCCATTGTGTCTGTTAGATTAGCTGCCTGAGCCAATCATTTGTGTTTGTGCATAATTAATAAAGCTTCATGTATTAATAGTAATCTTGAAGTAGTGCTAGACCCCTGCCTATTTTGACTGTCCATTTGCTTCTCTTTCTCTCTCTCACGTTTCACATGACTAAGGATTAAAACATCATCTTATCATAGTTGTGAACATAATTTCACTCAACAAGTTCTGTACTTTTGTGTTTAGCAAGTTAAGTGCTTACAACTTCTCTCTCTCTCTCTCCCTTAGTTGCACAGTAAGGATTTTTGAATGTATAGTGTCATCTAAGGTAAGCTTTCATATGGTCCCTGCATATGAAGCTTATGGCTGTTGTCATGTCAAACAAAGCCTACCCTATGTATGGCATAATTTTCATTATGTCATTTAATTAAAATAGGGTAGTTAAACCAATATTGCAATAGACTGACTTTTATATTACTACGCTCACAATTAACAGATAACCCTGAATCTGCCCAATAAATGCTTGTGATTACAGCTCCCTGTGATAATGCAGCCACTAACAGCTTATATAAAGACTTCAGCAATATGCAACAAAGCATGAGCCCAGTTAACAGCTTACTACACATACATAAGCAAGCCACTATCAGGGCATCCTAGCATTTAAAGCTAGCTACTTGCCTCAAGGTTCAGATGCCTCAAGAAATGATGCTGTTGATACCCAGCTATTACCTAATTTTTCTTGAAAAAAATTACATTACAGTGACTTTAAAGAATGCTTTAAAAGCATGCTTTTTTCTTTTGTTTGTCTTTCGCATTAAGAAAGTGTAGCTCAAAAGAAAAAAAAACCCTTCAGCAACTTTTCTTAATTACTTTGAGTCAAAATCAGTTTACTTTGATATGACAGATTGCACAGGAATGCCTTGTGTTTTTCATGTTCATGAATGTGGAAGAAACCATCTCCCCAAGGGTCAATGATAAAACATGGCGCAGTAAAGCCAAAATGTACAGGTGGTATTTACTAAGCTAATTTTCAAAAGGTTTTTAAGGTTTTTGATTAATGTTGCAAATCAGAAAAACACCAAAAGGTAAGTCTGTTATTAGTGATTGTGCTTGAGATTAAGAAATGGTGATAGTTCTGTTAGAACATCATGGAGAAGGAATTATCGCGTTTTTCTCCCCTGAATGAGTATCAGCTATCTAAAGGAACCACTGCTGGAGTTTGGACTTTGAATAGTATTAATAAAGACTATGCACATGATTCTGCTGCTTCGTGAGACCTAAGTATGGTGGGAAGACCTCCAGGAAATATGCTGGACAATCAGAAACGTGTCCTCTGACCACCAAAAATCTGCAGTATTGTGGCTTGAATTTGAGATGGGTGTTGAAGGAGATAGTACTGTTACTATTACTGCTAGTGATAGTAAGCATAGCAATTTTTTCCACTGATATTAAACACATTTTGGGGGAAGTGTGTTCTACTAGTTGCATGTAACATATAAGCAAGTTAACAAGCTTTGGATGGGTGATATAAGCATAAAATGCTTTCCTTTCCCTTCAAAACAACTTAAGACAACACACATTTACTCTGACATCACAAAACTTCTGAAAGTGGACCAAACTGAAGTACTGTAATTGAGGATTCAGCTGAGAATTTTGCTTGCTGTGGAACAGTCACATGACCATATTGCCCATGAGCCAACACCCAATGGCTGGACTAGATGTTGCCTTAAATGGTTGGCTCTCCATGTCTCCTCGTGTTTGCCTACTTGAAGTGGGTATGTGACATGACATCACAGCATTTGGCAAATGTGTGCATATAGGAGAGAGGTGACACAAAATGCTGTGCTGTCATGCATCTACTTCCATTGTTAAGCGTTGTGTGCAAGAGGTATGGAAGTAACCATACATTTAGGGCTTAATCCAATGGGGAGAGGTGTGAACCTCCAAACTAGAAGGCTCACATTCATCCACTACAGAAAAATCTTTGCCTCCCTGCTCCTTCCTCTATGGATTTCTGCTAGTTGGCCATTTTGTATTCTGGTCTCTCTAGACTCATCTCCTTCCCTTTGTCCCCTCTCAACATTGCTTTCCTAAACTCAGTGAGCAGTTGCTGTGGTTCATTCCATGCTGATTGCAAAGGGGCAGGAAACGAGGCCAGACCTCTGTTTCCCAATTCCGTTGTGCGAGCACTGTCTCCAGCTGCAGAGCTGGGAATCTGAGCTATCTTGTGGTCCCTCAGACAATGTTCAGGGGCCATCCGATCACTCCCTTGATGTCTCATTTGCCTGATGAACATCACATTTGGCTGACATTCTTCCTATCAGAGAGTGAGAGCTGAGTAATAGACCAGCTCGCACAGGGAATCTGCGTTTGCTTCTGCATCCCTTGGCAAATGTAATGTGTGCTCTGGTCTAGCACAGCTTCCCACATCCAGCATCACACTGAGTCTTCTTGCCCTCACTCACCATCACAGGTACCATGTAGGTCGGCAACATCACAATGAGGGCCTTCTCACTATGTTCAGCAGGTGACAGTGTGGAAACCTCCAGCCTGATTGTACCAACCCACTTAATAAGTACTTATGGACTTTGCAGCCAAGGCAAAGGTAACTTGCCATGAGGAGGCCACGGTTGGTGCCAATGGCAGAGTAACCAGGACATGTGCTCAAATGTTCACAGCTGGATCTCACTTTCTACAAACTCCTGTCCTCTTGGTTGCTTTAACTCCGATTTTATTCCTTGTCCGTAGGTGGGGTCTCATTCTTCAGACTACTAATGCAAGGGGTGCCCCCACATATCATTCAGTCCTATATGCAAGAAATACAAGCAGGCCATCCTGATGAAAAATAATGCCTGGCCACAGTGCTTCTCCACTGCCGCATTGGATACTGGTAGCCAGCGCCGCACAGTTTTTAAACGCCTGCCAAGGTCTGATGTATGCCCTGCCCTCTTCCTGCTGCTGCTGGTGGAAAGAACATACACGCATGGATTGCTTTTTGGGTTGAAATGATTTAAGTGGAAGTTTATCTGTGTTCTGTAATCTTCCACATTATGTTTTTGTTTTCTTCTCTCTTTTTTAATGCAGAAAAGAAAAGCTGAGCAAATACGCATGGGAGCTGATCTTTTAGTTTGTACTTTATATAGTTAGCTATATTCTTTTTCTGAGAAGCAGATACTGCTAACCCAGTGGCAATGCAGCCAGGCCTTGAAATACATACCTCTTTTGATAAATAATGGATTTAACATTTTTCATAGGCTGCTAAAAACAGACTGCTTAGTACACAATTTTCAGCATTTAACAGTTATTTCAGCTCAATGCATCTTCAGTTAAAAGATTTCAGTTTTCTTTACTGTCATTAGTGAGTCCCATTTCTCTTCGCTACTATCTAACCTTTCATGTAATGTACAATAAAGCTGAAGTGTTTAAAGACCTAGCCAAACATGTGAGACTTTTGTGTTTGTTTCATTTTTGGCTACTGTTGCCGTTTGGTTTGTGCTGTTCCTTTGCCTTTTTGTTACTCAAACTGCATCTCAAGATCCTAGATTATGAGTGTAATACAAAGGGAGGTAAGTTCAGCACATGGTTGGGCAAACTGATTGGCTATCTACCAATAAACAGGTATAGACAAATTGTAGCACACAAATTTAAGTGCTAGAAGATGTACCAGCAATTAGTCATGGAATAAAATTATTAGAGAGCTGTGTAATCCTTGCCTCTAGCAACCAAGCCACGGAGCCAGCAGTTTGTACCACTGTTTCACAATGACTCCTGCAACCCAATCCTGAACCCATTACCTGGGAGCAACTCTCAATAGGCACAAATTAAGAGGAACATGGGCACGCACGTTCATGTAGTCGGCTTTGCTTCCAAATAATGCTACCCATTCTGTGGAGTCATACGTTTGTATGGTAAATGTTGAATGACCCAAAATCTACAGCGGTTATTCAAAACAATAGAATCCACCACAACAGCCCAGCTGCACATGAATGTGCATGCATGTACACATGCATGCACAGAGAAAGCAGCATTTGTATGCATCAACAGCCTGGTTTGTATGATGTATTCTCCACTTGAATGCAACCAAAAGTACACCTTTAAATGTGTTGTACAAACTCCCTTTCCAGTACAGTCACTTCAGCTAAGGAAATCGCAGTTGTAACATGCTATTCCAATGAATGTCAAGGACAGATCCTGTAAATCTGAAACATGATCCATAGGTATTCCTCAAGATGCAGTAATGGTCAGTAATGACCAATGCAACCTCGCATGTTCAGAGAGATGCAACTGAATAGCAACTGCAGCAAGGAAAGCTTTTGCTTTCTAAGTAGGTTTCACAGAGACATCTGACTAGCTCCTGTGAAAAGCTGGTCCAGCTGGATGTGTTTTATTCACTGGTGTTATCAATGCAGAAATCTATGTACATTAAGCATTAATGCACAAAAATCAAGGTTTCCACCCTGAAGAGTATAAAGTAGGAGATGAAATAATGCTCTCATAATCCTGTTTATAGTTGGTGAAGGGATTATGCAGAGAAACAACTCCATTCTAATTCCTGTGACAACTTGATGTGTTCCTATGCAAGGCAATTGTTAACATGGAAAAAATCAACAAGAACATGAATGTGGTTTGTCTTGTAATGCAACATGGGCGAGATATACAAACCAGAATATATGCTATGCAAATACAATTTCATCATTTAATGTGACACGAAATTGACATACCCAGCCTGAGTCATACTGAGAAAAATGTCTAGCCGCCCAGTTGACAATTCAAATCCTTCTTCTTTTTCTACAATTAAATGAGAGGAAGAAACTAAGTTAGTGACAGTGGAAGATTAGGGAGCTGCAAGTAGCCCATCTGAAAAAAGGTAGAGAGTTGCTCCCAGCTGCTGCCACCTCAAATGACACTGCAGTAGAAGATGTTACAAAAGTAGAATTATCAGGTCATTCCCTCCCACCCTTGGCAGTGTGTCTTTAGCAGCAGCATGGCATGCGAAAACGCAAGTGGTGCAGCTGCCTCCATGGGATATGAATCCTTTAGGTCACTCAGCCAATGGCGAGCACTTTTCTTCCCCCATTAAAGAGTTGCCGCTTCCCAGGGTGGGCTTCTGGGCAAGCTGTTCTTGGCACTTCCCCATCCCTAAGAGGACCCACTTAGACAAGAAGATCAGACCAAAGTCCTATCTAGTCCAGCATACTGCTTTCCTTGTGGCCAATGAGATGCCAATGAGAAGCTCCCAAGCAGGCAATATGAGTGCCGTAATACCCTCTTAGTCACTTCCCCCAGCAACCTGTAGACAGATGCATTCTGCCTCTGACACTGGAAGTAGTATATAGACACCATGACTAGTACTCATGGAAAGCTTCCACCATCATGGATTTCTCTAATCCCTGTTGAAATCTGTCCAACCTGGTGGCCATCACTACATGCTGAGGAAAGGAAACCTGTAGTTTTAATTATGCACTGTATGAAACAGTGCTTCCTGTTCTCCATCCCAAATTTCCCACCAGTCAGCTTATTGGGATAACCCTGGGTTCTAGTGTGAAGAGTGCGAGAGAGAAATGCATCCCTCTATTTTTTCTGCACCGTGCATAATGTTATACTTCTGTGCCATAGACCTGTTCAGTCGACCTTTCGTTGGGGCTAAAAAGCCCCAAATGTTGTATCCTTGCCTCCTAGTGGAATGACCTTAATCAGGTGCTGCACTGTCCTAGCTCGACCATGTTCTCTTTGAGGTGCAGCAGCCAGAATTCTACACAATATTCCCTGGGTGGTCACAGTATACTTTGTACTTTGTACAAACTCCTTTTCCTCCTGCCATCGCTCATTTGCTTGCCCTGCCTCTCTGGGACAAACTATCACTGCCAAGAGGACAAGGCAGAGTGAGGCCAGTATTTGCACGGTCTTTTCACAAAGAAACGGCAAGGAATAGCAGAAGCTGGGTTGTGAAGCCCTGGAGATTGAGGTAGCTGTAGAGCTCCTTCTCGGGTGTGAGCCTCAAAGGGTGCCCAACTCTTTACAGACCCCAGCCCTTCCTGCACTACACGCGTCCTCTGATGTCACAGCTGACCAAATCTACCACCACATATTCTTGGTCTGGATATTCTATTGTAACACTTTTTAAGCTTCCTAGTTGGGCAATTCTGTAATTTAGGTGCCATAACTAAAAGGCCTCTATCTAAAAGGTTCTTTTGAAAGAGGAACAAGGGCTCCCAAAATTTAATGCAGATCCTGAGACAAAACACAATTTTCAGCTGCAGTTGTGTGGTTCCTCCGGAAGGATGTCCAGCAGCCATGGAAGGCAGTGGACTTTCACCCTCTGCATTAAGTGCCACACAATTCTGTTCATGTTTGCTCAGAGGTAAAACCCACTGTGCTCAAAGGAAGCTACTCCTAAGGAGCCCTTTATCTTTTCCAGTATGGCCCATGAAGCCAAGGAGAACTCACCCAGGGATAAGAAATTTGTTAGAACTAACTAGGAACATCTGGTATTTATTGTTCATTTATTAAGAGTACTTTTATCTTGCTTCTCCACCAAAAAGGCTTCCAGGGCAGCTTATGCATATTTAGTAAAACAGGCTTGCAATCCAAAAAGACACAACACACAAGGAAGAATAGAAGGGAAGGTAAAGGGGGGCAATTACACAGATTTTCAGGGCCCTGTTTCCGCTCCTAACTCTTTCTGTTCAGGCTGTCGGAGTAGCTGTCGATCTCCTGTGAGACTGGAAAGAACCGTATCAAGTTCAGGCTGACAGCACAATCCCATAGTTGTTTACCCAGCAATAAACCCTACTGTATCCACTAGAGCGTATGTTCCAGTAATAATGTTACAGAGTTAAGCTGCCAACCCATACCATTTGGCAAAGCAGAGGTGCCTGTCCCGCGGCTTAGGTACTGGCAGGAACCGCTTTACAGTGCAGTATGCAGGGGGCCCACCGCTTTGCGTTCGGCCCTGCCCGCCACTGGCCTGCAGCGCCAGGGGTGCTCCGAAGCGGCGCTCGGCCCGCGGGCGGTCAGGCGGTATGCGCCTCCCCTCCCCTTCAGCGCTGCGCCCCACAGCCCAACCGCGGCGCCCGGGGCACGCGCAGCACCGGCTGCTCTGTCGTAGCAGGCACTCGCGCCGCCTCCCAAGCGCGGGATGCCTTCCAGGTTGCGCCTTTCCCCTCCAAAGGGAAGCCCTGGCCGCCGCGGCGCTTCGCTCCCTCGCCGCGCAGCATTTCGCCCTGCCTGGGGCGCTAGCGGCGAGCGCGCCGCCAGCGCGGGCGCCGCTGGCCACGGGCGCCCCCGGCGGCTCTGGTAGCGCGGGCGAGCCGTGCGCCCGTTTCTCGCGGCTGCGCTGGACGGGCGGCTGCGGCTTCCCTGCGCCCGCCTCCAGGCGGGGCGGCTGCTCCTGCTTCGCTCTCGGCCCGGCCCGGCCCGCCCCGCCGAGGGGAGGCGGCCGCTCCTCCCGCCGCGCTGCGGAGCCTGGGGCCGCTCGGAGCGCCGCGGCCGGGGAGGCGCAGGGCGGCGTTGGCTGGGAGCCGCCATGGCGCTGCCGGAGCCGCTGAGCGCGGCGCAGCTGAGGCGCCTGGAGCAGCACCGCTACAGCGCGTCGGGCCGCTCGCTGCTGGAGCCGCCGCTGCAGCGCTACTGGGCCTGGCTGGTGGAGCGCACGCCGGCCTGGCTGGCCCCCAACGCCATTACCCTCGGCGGCCTGGTCCTCAACCTGCTCCCGACGCTCGTGCTCATCAGCCACTGCCCCACCGCCACCGAGCAGGTAGGCGGGCGGGCGACGCCGGCTCCGAGGCGGGCAGAGCCCCCCGAGGGCGCGTCCCTCGCCGCCTCTCCCTCGGGGGGGGGGGGCTGGGCGGGGGCAGGAACCGCTGGGGCGCGCGGAGGGGGTCCGGTGCTGCGGAGACGGTGGCCCACGCCAGGGTTGAGCTGCTCTCCGTGGCTACATAGTTGGGGACAACGTCCCCTGGGCGGTACTTTGCAGATGCCTCGAACGTCCCTAAATCAGCCCTGCTGGTCAGGGCTGATAAGGTTGCAAGAACTGCAGGGCGCTGAGTTGGGGAATCCTGTCCTAGACGCATTTCCCGGGGAACACGGGTGCGATCCGTGCCCTGCGCCCTTGAGCCAGGGCGCAGTGCTTGGAGTGTTGGCCTGGGACTTGTGAAAGCCAGGGCCTCGACCCACTCAGCCACCGGGCCAATGCCCGACTTGGGGCCCTGCACTCATTCGCAGCTATGTGAAGGTAAATGGTAAGGAGGATTATGTAAACCACTTCAGGTTTCTTGGAAGGAAATAAGTGTCACAGAAAGTACATCAGGAATTTAAGCAATGCAGATAATACTGCGTTACAGACAGAAAGTAGCATTGCATTAAACTGATCCCTGATTGAAAGTGAAAGTGCAGAAACAGAACTGGCTCTGAATATTAAGAAAGCAAAAATCATGACCTTCTGAAGAATTACTGAACTTCATTGTCAGCCTTGAAAAGACTGACTCCATTACTCAGTCAGCAATTTAAGAAAGACAGAAGACTGAGAGTTGAAAGCGCGGCTGTAAAGCATCTAGAAAAGGGCATCAAGTGGAAGGATGTTTCACTGAAGACCAAAGCCAAGACCATCCACATTGTTCTATTCCCATATTCTATGTGTGGGTGCAAAAGCTGGACAACAAAGAACGTTGACAGATTTATCCCAAGTAAATGTAGATAGGATTGCAGTCAGAGATGCCTTGAGTTGTGGTCTTACGGCAGGGATGGAGAGTGTGTGGCCTTGCTAATGATGTTGGACTTCAGTTCCCATCATCCCTCAACATTGGTCATACCTGCTAAGCCTGGTGGGATTTATAGTTGAACAACATTTGGAGGATCACATGTTCTTCTCTGATGCTTATGGAAGGAAGTGAGCTGCATGGTAACTTAAGTATTTAGAGCTTTCCTTTGTGATGGAGGGTGTGTGGGTGGGGAGAGATTAATACATAGGAATCGCTGGATGGTGGGGTGGGAGCCAGTGACCTCTGCTGTAGGTGACTGGTTGCTGTGTTGCTTCTGTTGCTTGCATGTTGCGTCTTCCTAGCATTCTCATAACACATGCATCTTTGCTGCTGTAGAGCCCAACCTGTGCATATTGAGAGCAAAAAGTGCTGTATCTGTCAGCTTACCCCAAGTAGCTTGGAGTGGTAGGATTGCCTTTCTGTCCTAAGAAGGTGGAGTTTCGGTACATGGCTAGTAAGAGCTGATGGCGCAGTGTTCCAGGTGTTGTAGAGGGCTTTGTCCAAGGCATTGTGCAAGTCTTGTGGAGAGCTGCTGACTTGTGCCCACTGGTGGAGAAAACAAGTTGCCTGCTTAAACTCTAATAATGCTTTTGTAGTGCTTTTCAGGTTCAATGCCAAGTATGGGTGGAGGATGTTTGCAGATGAACCAGTCACCTGCCTCAGTCTACCTGCCTTACAAAGGACTACCTGTAACAGCAGTGCCAAGGGGCAGAACTCTTTCCCTCCTCTTTACCAACTTGAGCTTGTATTTGAGCCCTCCCCTGAGCCCACCTGGCACCAGCTTTTTCTAGCACTGCATTAAGATTGCCCTCTACTTCCAGGCATTCAGTGTCTATAATGAGACGTGTCCACTGTTTTAACAAGCCTACTTCCAGGGTGGATAAAATTCACTTTTTTAACTCGCAAAAATTTTGGATTTTTAAAACTTGATCAGATTTTTCTATTTAAATCGGAATTGTTTAAGAAAATACTTTTTGAGGAAAAATCTATCTAAAGATAGTTTTCTGTTTAAGATACATTATAGTGCAAAGGTGATAATGAAATGATTCATTATTAAGGATTCATTCATATTCATTAAGGATTTATTTCATGAAATAAGGATTAATTTATAATTTAATTATGTAACATGAGGCTGTATATTCATGCAATGTTTACATTTTTTTTAAATCAATTTCATTTGAAACAAATCCTCCCTGTCTAGTTCTATTGATTTTTTGTGATTTAAATTTTTAAATTTTGTGTATTGGAATTTTATGCTGTGTTTTATTTAATTCGTATTTTATTTCATTCTGTTTTAATTATTGTATCTGAGTTTATGAATTGCTATGAACCACACAGAGAACTTTAGCTACTGGGCTGTACAGAGAGGGAGGGAGGGAGAGAATGCTTTCAAAAATGCTTATTATTAATTTAAACATGCATGGCAAAGTCCACCAAGTATCCACCCTTGCCATTGCCCAACAAAGGCAGCAGACACCAAAATTTTCTGTCTTGGTGTCATCTGATAGGTGTGAAAAGGCAAGCTGACAAATGTAACCAAAGGTGTGAGTGATCTGAGCTCATGAGGATTAGTGACAACTTGTTTACCCCCTTCACAGCAAGATCTTCATGATTTTATTTCTTTGGGTTTAACTGGACTTAATTTGGATTAATATGTCCAACTTGGGAACATGCAAAAATTTGAGCCATGCTGTTTATAGAGTGGTAACTTTTGACAGCTGTCAAAAATAAAGCTTTATTTTTGAAGTGGGATTTAGAAATTTAGTAGGATTTTTAAAAATGAAGGGCAGGGACCTGTACAGATATATAGAGTCTATATAACAAGTTAAGGTGGACATTTCTGGTAATAATTCATCCCTGATGTTTAACAGTTCAGAAACAGAACCTAAAAGAAAAAAAATCAAGGAATACACTAAGATGTCAATAAAATACATTGAAAGAAAATTCCAAAGACATAAAAAGGCTGCAGTTATTTCATAATGGTAGAAATAGAATAATCAACCCTTATCAAAGTAGAGCCGAAAATAACAATATTGACTTTAAAATAAAAGACAGATATGTGATTTTAAAATGTTAAAAGGTAGGCGTGTAAAAGAACTTTGGTAGTTTGCCTAGTACCAAAAAAGCTGGGAGTGTAGGCACAAGAAGAGTTGCACAGGTGGGGAGCCATCACTGGAAAGGTCTTCCATCTGTTTGCCACCCTCCATACTTCAGGTGGGGGGACCATGCATAGAAGGCTTCAGTTGGATGTCATAAAGTACAGTATACATGAGAACAAATGTTCCTCAGAGGAACACAGCAGACAAGCATGTTTCACTAAAACTACTTGGATGGCATGTCAATTCATTCTGTCTTTTCTGATAAGATGAACATTTACCTGCCTGACAGTTTTCAGTCCAGTTCTATACTTGTACCTGGAAAGATTTTCTGAGAAGGTTCCTGGATTCAGAGCTTTTTCTTTCATTCGCTAATGCAAAGATGCTGAGTATGGAAGGAAAATCCTGGCCAAACACCAAATGTATACTTTGGTTTGGTTCAAGCTTATATAAAGAGCAAGTGTCTGTTTTGTTTATAATACTTATATCTAGGCTGTTTAAATGCAATATAAAGTTAAGTAAAATGTTACTTAATTGAGGTGAGGAAGTCAGGGTTCATTTGCTAAATCTTCTAGATGTGAGCATAGTGTTTGTTTGCACAATAATGACCATTTTTACAACTATCCAGGGTCTGCCTGACCTGTGGCTTTTATCTAGTAAACACAGTACAAGGCTAGCAAACTGTGTGTGTGTGTGTGTGTGTGTGTGTGTGTGTGTGTGTGTGTGTGTGAGGGAGGGAGATTCACTGGTGGTATAACATGTGAGTTCTTAAGGAATGATATGGTGAGTACTGTCTGCCAACACAAAGAATCTTTAAGGGACGTGATAACAGAGCTTCTGGGCAACTTCTGTCTGTACCACATGTTGTAGCAGTTAGCTAACATTGCCAGAACAGATTGTTTTTGTGCCTTTATTTCAGGCTCCTCCTTGGGTGTTCCTCTCATGCGCATTAGGACTCTTTATTTACCAGTCACTGGATGCCATTGATGGAAAACAAGCCAGAAGAACGAATAGCAGTTCACCTTTGGGAGAACTCTTTGACCATGGCTGTGATTCTATTTCAACAGGTAACTTTTTAAAAACACTTGTTTTTGTGTTAATAGAATTGGCAAATAGAAAGCTTACTAAAGTGGTAATGTTGCTGCACATAGGAATATATTTGTGTGTGTGTGTGTGTATGAGAGGGAGAGAGAGGGAGAGAGAGGGAGTATGCTTTCAAGAATTTTTATTTATTTATTTAGAGTATTTGTATGCCATCCCATCGCATAGCCTCGGGACAGCTTACATAAAATAAAATAAAACATAATACACATTTAATC